TTTAAGACAACCAACTATAACCAACATGAGTGTGGTTCTTAAGTTATGACATTCTAGCCGATGCAAAAAATATTCTTGCGGAGATCTAGGCCGACGTTGATCTTGTGGAGATAGAAGTTGTGCATTCGATCTCTGGGGAGAAGTTTCTTCTCCGTTTTGACATGGTGATGATTATATTGAAGGAGAGAATATAGAGGGTATATATTGGAGAATAACAATGCTATGAGTTCTGCAGAGGCATATGGCATGTTGTGAACTTGATGAAAAAATAGACATGGTCTCATATTAAAAAGATACGCTGGTCGACGAACCAAGCTAGGCGCGGTGTCGCCACAGTAGATCTATTCAAGGTCGCTGGAGAGGGAAAAGAAACACTCAAGCCGAAGGAGACGTCTACGGTCCCCACGTACATGCATGCATGGACCCACGAATCCAATGCAAATAAAACTGCGGCTAGGTTTTCTCTGTCTCCCGCCGGCTCTGCCTCGTCTCCGGTGGTCTTAGGGCCATGGCGGCGTGGTGGATCCCGGCCCTTGACGGCGGGAGGGTTCCGTCTTTAGATGTTTCTTCAAATTTTGTTAGGGTTTGTGTCCTGCTCAGGAAGACGAGACGGTGGCAGCTTTCTGAAGATGGAATAAGGTTCTCTCCATCTAATCCCTGTTTCGGTGGTGCGTCTAGCATCGTCGGTGGGCGTGTGGAGGTGTGTCTCCGGTGGATCTGTCATTGGTAGATTTGCTCGGACCTTGTCGTAGTTCATCTACGTTTATGCGTCTTCAGGTTGGATCCTTCTGATCTATGCTACTCTTCAACGACGGTGGTTGCTGTTCTGATGCGCTCGTCCTATGGGGTCTTAGCACGACGACTTCCTGACTGTCTACTACAATAAGGTTTGCCAGGCTCTAGTGAGGGAGGGGTGATGACGGCGACGCGTCTTCGACTCGCTTCAGTGCTTGTAGTCGTCGCTAGGTGGTCTACAGATCTAGATGTAATTTTTATTATTTTTAATGTTTGTTGTACTACCATAATTAAAGATGAATAGATTGGATGTTTTTTGCACACAAAAAAAACCGTGACAGCTACGTAGCTTGTAGCCGCCGACATGTATATATCTGTGTACGTGTCTGCATGGACAACTCCGTAACCACTGGATCTTGAACAACAAAACTTTTATACTATGTAAGACATGAAACCAAGCTGGAGGAAAACAATCATCACGGCTGCTAGAATGACAGCCGGACATGCATCGATGGTTTTTTATGTTTCTCGGGGTCAAAGGATTCCCACGGTGCGAACAAAGTCAGCGAGACAATCTGCAATAAGTCGAGTGCGACGAGCGAAGAAACAATTGTTGACAACACCAACGGCAACGCTGTATCGCCTGATTTTGTAGTGGGGGTCGACATGCGCGACTTTCGTTTTAGTTGTATCGCCTGTCTACTATTCCGTTGCTTGTGAACTCGGAGGATTCAGTTCAACAAGCTTGACGATCGGTAACACTATTTAGTTAGAACCAGAGGAAGCGGAAGACATGTCCATGTCGATCTGGGTTACTGGAACAGCGTGACCGTACGTACTGTGACGTACCGGTTATTCTAAAGAAGGGGCTATTCCATTCGATCGTAGGGATCACACGATTGTTAATTCCTCTCGTGTCTAAGCCCGGGATAACGTAGACGTTAAATTCCTGGCGACTTGGCTTGCACTCCAATCACTCGATCAGTGCGGCTAGCTGTGCAGGAGATTCATGGGCGCGTGCGTCCTCTTCATCGGCTTCTGGATGGTCTAGGTTTGGTTGGGTTGCTTAATCACCTCAGCTGTTTCATATAGCTTCTGGGGAACAAGTAATCTAGTATGCTTGCTCTTGCAATTGCATGCAGAAGCAGCTGGGGATTCCGTTTTCACCTGCAGAGTTGGGAGGTCACGGTTGCTTCTCCCATTGGCAAGTGGCATGGTAAGTACAACCAACCAGCACGTACGTCCTTGACAAGCTTATCATCAGCAACATAAAACCCAGGGGATAACCAGATGCTGGCTCGCTTTAGGCATATGTCATCATGTCAAAAGCGAGCACGCGCGTTGACAGACAGGACAGCAGACGGCATATGCACCATCTCACCGAGCACGACATGAAAGGCACGGACGACTTTGCTGCCCAAACCGTAAGATGAACCCAAGAGGAAAGCAAGGGCGCCCGACAGACACGATGGATCAGTGACATAAGCGAAACGGACGCAGCGTAGAAACTGGAGGCAGGGGGCTCACGGAGGAAGATCGTGGCTCGCTCGCTAGCTTTCACGCTAGCACGACACCGGTCGGCGGTGGATCTCGACGTCGATGGTCTCTTTATTCGCGCGTTATCTGCTAGCTAGGGCAGTGAAAATACCTCAAATGGGATCGTGGCAAAGGGGCACCAGTTCACACGCAACGACATTTGTTTGAACTTTGAAGGGGGGCGTCACTGCCTCGCCGGATCACCATCGCCAAGTTGCCATTTCCAAATGGCAGGTCAGGAACGGTCGCTTTCGCCGAAGAAGAGGAGGTTCCATAAGTACATGGCTCGTACAGTCTTCTTAAGAAAAGTACATGATTTGTAGCATATCTGATCTGACACCGACGGCTCACATATTCAGATGTCCACCCAATACTTCTCTACTTCGAAGGGCAGGGAGCATACCAAAGTCAGAATCAAATGAGTGCCTGCATTTATTTAATACTCCCTCCGTCCCAAATTACTCGTCGCAGAAATGGATGTACCTAGAACTAAAATACATTTAGATACATACATACCTGCGACAAGTAATTCAGAATGGAGGGAGTATAAGAGAATAGTAAGGCTGCGCTTTGCATCACTTTGGATGTTGGTGATTCCTTTTATTTTCCACTAGATTTTGCTATTTTTACTGTTTGTTTGATATGTTTTTATGGCTAATTTTCTGCAACGGGTAACAAAATAAGCACAATCTCTCAAAGAAAAGAAAGGCACACAACACAATTCGGCAACCGCAAACTAAGCCGGCATCAGAATAATGCACAGAGATCCGGTGTCGTTTTCGTTTTATTTATTTTCGAGAAACCGAATGTCGTTTTCGTTTGTCTAGGGAACGAACTGTGGCATGAAGAGGCCCATATAGTTTTTTTTTTGAGAAAATATAGTTTTTTCCGGCTTGAAGAGGTCCATGTGATTCAAAACAGAGGCCCACATTATTTTTTTGGGCTTGAAGAGGCCCATATGATTCAAAAAATATATGATACGGACACTCTCTTTGTCCGAAAACAGATGATGTTTTACATTCGACATGATTTTCGATGATCAACCCTGATCATATATTAATCATTGTATGAATAGGCAAGCATAAATTATATAGCATCATGTGCATTATGAAACTGTTTTTTCATGGATTTTTTTGATGGTATAAGTTTTAACCAACAAATTCTAAACAATCAATCATAAATTAGTGGTCAAAGATAGATAAGCTTGTCTGAACACATTATAGAAAGCCATGTGTTTTAAAATAGAGATGGTACTTGGCTAACAAAAGTTGATCATGAATCTACGTGGAGCATGAATCTACGGCTGGAATTGGGGAATAAGAAATGACGCTTGATACCACGAGGATTTTTCTATTTCACTATGGGCATGCTTGGTGAGAGATCAAAAATGTCTACTAGAAGGGTGTTGGAGGATTACAAATTTTAACTTGTGTAACAGAAATTGTGTTGCCTCCTGCGCTCCGTGGAGCTTGCTTTTTTTTAAACTAATTTTAGGTCTAAAAAATTCTGAAAAAACACACATATTCCTACAAATGTATATTACTTGCCTGTAAAGTTTCACGGCCAAATACATTTTTTTGCGAGCTACAAAAGAAAACATGTATTTCTAGCACATGTACTATTCACTATACAAGGACATGGACTTGTTTTTATTGTACAGCTTACATCAAAACGTATTTCATAATGAAATTTTACACACATGTAGTACATCTCTAAGTAACTTGTGTATTTATTTTTCAGATTTTGTTTCGAACTTAAAAGGTAAACTTTTGAATTTTTGAAATTTTTGGGCCCCATGGAGCCCGAGAGCCAAAAATCCTCTGTACAAGTACTTACTTTTAGGTCTTACATATTTGTAGGTTCTCTAAAATGCAACTAAGTGAATTAAACCTACATGGAAGTTAAATCTAGCAAGCAACATAACACAAGCCAAAGAAGCTAGAATTAAACAAAACACGGAGTATCAAAAATGCTGAAAGATCAAAAATGACTACTAGAACATTTAAAAAAAATGACTACTGAAAGGGTTAAACGGTTACAACTTTTAACTTACTAGTTTTTTCGATAAAGGGTGAATTTTATTAACTCAAAATGGAGTATTAAGAGAATACAAACATAATGAGCACACACCCGGTCTCTGCATAGTTAGGATGCACAGAACCAACACAAAAACACACACATAAAAACACGCTGACAAATAGCAAAGTCATGTAAGACCAAAGCTAAGCATATGAAAAAAATAAAAATAAAAACCCAAAGCAAACATATCCATGGTCGACAAACTACCAATGACCATATCCGCACCAATGGGAATGACACCATTGCAATATGATTACCACCTAGGTCAACCAGTAGATGAATGGATGACAATTCAAGTTAACAGTAACAAACAAATGTTTGACGAGAAACCGCAATTGTTATCTATCTTGATTTTAAATACAATCGATATCATCAGATGAATAGAAAACAAACAAATATCAAGCATGCAGGTAAATGTGGAAGTTCAATGCATATCACTCAAGTAACGATTCAATGGTAAGATACCCATGGGTGCCCATAACCAACAAGATCCAACAGAAAGCACAGGAATAACATGTTCAACGCTTGGAGCTTAATAAGTTTGAAACTGGATAATGCATAGACTTGTTGCTTAATATAGCCCTGATGATTACATGGTAGAAACGGATGGTCACACTAACAGTCCTTGGAGATTCATGAACAAACCAACTTCATTTCAGGACCTCACACTTTGCACCTCCTAAGCACTGACATAAGAAACAGCATACCACCATCTTGAAAAGTACAAAGGAACAAGGATTTCGAGGCAGAGTGGGTTCAATTAACTCAACTTGTCTCCGTCTTCTCCAGGGCTGAAAATGAACTACTGTCAGTTCCAAAAGAAATAACAAAGAAAGCAGCAGAATATAGCTTACAAAGTTATATAACAGCATCAACTTACTGTTGTAGTTGAGCAACTTCTCGATGAGGTCAACATGGGTCATGAGCATACGGCGGCAGCAGTAGCGAACCAAGCCCAAGGCATCCAGAGCATCCCTAACAACATACAACAGCAGAAAGATAGATAAAATCAGATTTCAATATGATAGTTGTAAACATTATATACAATATTAACAATAAAATTATCTAATAAACCATAACAGATGTCCCTTCTAATAATTCTAATCTCTAGAAAAGTAAAAAATAGGTAGGGTAAAGATGCTCTTCTAGTTTTCAGGAACTGTATTGACAAATAAGTAGTGATTTTCTAGTCTTAAGCATGGGGAACAAAAACATAGACATATATGTCGACGTGGAACACCATTGAGCAAAGATTCCAACATTTCAGAAACCAAGAATCTCAGCCACACTCAACGGTAGACTCCGATATGTATGTAATATAATTTACAATTTTACACCGTGAACATTTGTCTTGTCATTATAGTGTTCATTAACAAGAAACACCATACTATTACACAATAACATCGGTATGCAGAGTAGGGGTGGGGAGTACATATGGCTAATCTGATGACATTTTTTACTATACTCTATGTACCTCGCTGCGTCCGACAATAAGAAAATATAATGCATGCAATAAAAATTACAGTTCATCATGAGCTTCTGTTTTTTTGTCTTTCTAGTGTCCATTTAAGATACACAATATTATTCCAACATAACATTACGACACAGCACGCAGAGTATGGAGAGTACACATGGCTAAAAAGGTGAAATATTGTTTTGCAAAGACTACAAAGATTAGTATACTACCATACTCTAAAGTACCTAGTTACGTTCGACACAAAGAAAATATGATAAAATTTTAACAAAGGGAAAAACACGTAATAGGATGCAAACATAGCAACTATCATCCAGACCTAGCCATTTGGTTTAACACTGGCATAATTCTAATTCCTCCACACATCCCAGTCAAAGTGCCAGTTCAGTGAAAGGGCATGTAGAGGGCTTATGAAATATCTAAAACAGGGAAGCACCACACTAGTAAGGGCCCCCAAATGCATCAAAAGATGCATGACATGCCCACTAGTTTTCAGTGTTCATTTATTATGGATCACGTATGCTATGGTGTTCAGTGGTGCACCATGTACGTCACAAGATATACAGCATACTAGTCTATCACACTTGTGTGCATAACTTCCTCACATATAAGTGAAACATGCTCCCTTCTAGCTAAACATGAAAAGAAGCCGACATTGCAAATGCAGGCTCCCTCAAGGCCTCATCCACCAAATCAGGATCAAAGGCAGAGCCAGTACAATATGCACTCAATCAAACCGGAGCACAGGAACCAGGATGCATAAATGTTTACCCCTCAGTGTAATCAGCCTGGAGAAGATCGAGGTAGTGGTCCCACTTGTTCCCGATCACCTGTCCAAGCATAAAAACTAATCTTGTGAGTTGATCTCTTTCTTCAGGTAAAGGCCAGGAGTTCTCCCAATGCATTATATGAATATGTAGACAAGAAAAAACATGCAGAGTTATTCACAGAAGTTTAAATGGAGTACTTTTCAGTAAGCTTAACCCTAGAAAAATTGATGTGTCACACAACAACTACACCCTAGAGTTAAATCTTGGGTACAAACAGGTAGGGACCATATACGATAAAACATCACTTGGTTATTTGAGAGGATCGATGAGAAAAATCTTAGTGTACCACCACATAAACCTAGCAGAAGAGTGCGGATACCCCCTAAGAGGCAATGTACCCTAAGACGCAGCGTGCGTCCTTAAAGGGTGGCCGACGGGAGCATGGATGGAGGGGCGGTGATGGGGTTTACCTTGCCGCAGGTGAAGCACCGAACCGGGATGATCATCTTCTATCCTCCGCCTCCGCCTTTGCCGCTGCCGCTGGAGAAGAAGGAAAGGGGAACAAGGGTTTTCGGGACGAAGGCGAGGGTCAGTGTGAGAGAGGACATGAAAAATGAATGGAGAGGGATGGGGCTCACCTTGAGCTTCTGAAGTGGCGACGGCGGGGGAGAAGAGCAGCGTCGCCGGCGGCAGGGGCAGGTTGGGGCGGCGAGGGAGAAGGACGGACTCGCAGTGTCGGGGAAGGGCGGCTCGATGACCAGACGGTAGTCGGGGTGGTGACGGGATCGCCGGACGAAGTTCACCAGCGACGAGAGATGGCGGCGTCGGGACGGCCTCGTCGCTGGCGGCTAGGGTTGACGAGCGACGAGTGGCCGAGGACAGAGGATAATGGGGATCGGGATTATTTCGAGCTTGTCCATCGAACAGGTAAGGCCACTTCGCAGTGGCATCTAATCGTAAATAAGGCCAACTCCAGGAATGATTTTTAAATTATTTTTTTGCAGGCAGGAATCCCGATTCTTCTTCTTTGTTTTTGCACGCCAAATGTGTATATACAGAAAATGCCAAATGTGCTCAAACTGTAGGTCTTGATTCCTTTTCAAAAATTTAAAAAGAAGGTATTTTAGCTGTGCTTTGAAAAGGACTACTCTCTGTAAACATGCTGACATGTTTTTTCAAACTGCTCCCTGTAAACATTTTTTTTCCAACCGGGCTCACAACCCCTTTCCATTAATTTTGCAATCAACGGAAATACATCAGTCTGGACTCATCCCTGTAAACATGCTGACATGTTTTGAAAACTGCTCTCCGTAAACATGCTGACATGTTTGAAAAGGAGTACTATCGGTAAACATATTTTCTCAAAATCTTTTCAAAACTGTAGGAACAATTATGACATGTTTTTCAAACCGCTCTTTGTAAACATGCTGACGTGTTTAGTGACATCACAAAGAGAGTGCTCCCGTTGTTTCTTCAAGAGGAAGATGGTCCCTTGTTTGATCACCATCAACAACCATAGAGGAAAACTTGATTTTTCATTGTACTCCTGACATCCAAACATTTACTGAAAATAGTGGCTAGGATGAAGATGAAACAGTGGCTAGGCAGTGTATAATGTTCTTTGACTGTCTACAAGATTCAGAGTGAAAGGGAGTATTTTTTGGGCCATCTATATATGCTCTGAATTATTTCTAGGCCATCTATATATGCCATCTAGGAGTATGTAAATAGGCCATCTATATAAGATGCAGAGTGTCTATGCCTATTACTCCCTCCGTCCCATAATCTTAGAGCGTTTTTGACACTATAGAGTGTTTTGAGTAGTGTCAAAAACGCTCTAATATTATGGGACGGAGGGAGTATTTTGAGTAGTGCACTATCATCATAATGCAAAGAACATAGTCTCTCCCTACTATTCCAATTAATCCAAATTATTGGAAGGTAGCAATGGCGAACTTGAGCGAGAGAAGGAGTGCGTTGTTGGGGAACGCAGTAATTTCAAAAAAAATCCTACGATCACGCAAGATCTATCTAGGAGATGTATACCAACGAGAGGGGAGAGTATGTCCACGTACCCTCGTAGACCGAAAGCAGAAGCATTTAGTAACGCGGTTGATGTAATCGAACTTCTTCGCGATCCAACCGATCAAGCACCGAACGTACGGCATCTCCACATTCAGCTCGGTGACGCCCCTCGTACTCTTGATCCAGTTGAGGCCGATGGTGAGTTCCGTCAGCACGACGGCGTGGCGACGGTGATGATAATGCTACCGCCGCAGGCCTCCGCCTAAGCTCCGCAACGATATGATCGAGGTGTGTAACTATGGAGGGGGGGACCGCACACGGCTAAAAGAATAACTTGTGTGTTCTAGGGTGCCTCCCTGCCCCCCATATATAAAGGAGGGAGGAGGAGGAGGCCGGCCCTAGAGGGGGCGCGCCAAGGGGTGGAGTCCTACTTGGACTCCCGATCCAAGTAGGATTCCCCCCCCCTTCCTATTCCAACTAGGAGAAGTGGGAAGGGGGGAAGAGGGGAGAAGGAAGGGGGGCGCCGCCCCCTCCTAGTCCAATTCGGACCAGCCCATGGGGGGGGCACCCCTTGAGGCCCTTCTCTCTTTCCCGTATGGCCCATTAAGGCCCAATACTTCCCCCGGCGAATTCCCTTAACTCTCCGGTACTCCAAAAAATACCCGAATCACTCGGAACCTTTCCGATGTCCGAATATAGCCTTCCAATATATCAATCTTTATGTCTCAACCATTTCGAGACTCCTCGTCACGTCCATGATCTCATCCGGGACTCCGAACAAACTTCGGTCATCAAAATCACATAACTCATAATACAGATCGTCATCAAATGTTAAGCGTGCGGACCCTACGGGTTCGAGAACTATGTAGACATGACCGATACACATCTCAGGTCAATAACCAATAGCGGAACCTGGATGCTCATATTGGCTCCTACATATTCTACGAAGATCTTTATCGGTCAAACCGCATAACAACATACGTTGTTCCCTTTGTCATTAGTGTGTTACTTGCCCGAGATTTGATCGCCGGTATCATCATACCTAGTTCAATCTCGTTACCGGCAAGTCTCTTTACTCATTATGTAATGCATCATCCCGTAACTAACTCATTAGTCACATTGCTTGCAAGGCTTATAATGACGAGCATTACCGAGAGGGCCCAGAGATACCTCTCCAATACACGGAGTGACAAATCCTAATCTTTATCTATGCTAACCCAACAAACATCTTCAGAGACACCTGTAGAGCACCTTTATAATCACTCATTTACGTTGTGACGTTTGGTAGCACACAAAGTGTTCTTCCGATATTTGGGAGTTGCATAATCTCATAGTCTGAGGATCATGTATAAGTCATGAAGAAAACAGTAGCAATGAAACTGTTGCGATCATAATGCTAAGCTAACGGATGTGTCATGTCTATCACATCATTCTCCTAATGATGTGATCCCGTTCATCAAATGACAACTCATGTCTATGGTTAGGAAACATAACCATCTTTGATAAACGAGCTAGTGAAGTAGAGGCATACTAGGGACAATATGTTTTGTCTATGTATTCACACATGTACTAAGTATCCGGTTAATACAATTCTAGCATGAATAATAAATAGTTATCATGAAATAAGGAAATAAATAATAACTTCATTATTGGCTCTAGGGCATATTTCCTTCAGTCTCCCACTTGCACTAGAGTCAATAATTTAGTTCACATCACCATGTGATTTAGCACCAATATTCACATATGTATGTGATTAACACTCATAGTTCACATCGTCATGTGACCAACACCCAAAGGGTTTACTAGAGTCAATAATCTAGTTCACATTGCTATGTGATTAAACACCCAAAGAGTACTAAGGTGTGATCATGTTTTGCTCGTGAGAGAAGTTTAGTCAATGGGTCTGACACATTCAGAGTCGTATGCGATTTGCAAATATTCTTTGTCTACAATGCTCTGCATGGAGCTACTCTAGCTAATTGCTCCCACTTTCAATATGTATCCAAATTGAGACTTAAGAGTCATATGGATCTGTGAAAAAACTTGCATCGATGTAATTTTTTACGACGAACACTTTATCACCCCCATTACCGAGAAACATTTCCTTAGTGCTCACTAAGGATAATTTTGACCGCTGTCCATTGACCTACTCCTAGATCACTATTGTACCCCTTTGCCAAAAACATGGCAAGGTACACACACTAGTAGAAAAGAGGGCTTTGATCCACCCCGGGTTAGCCCATTAGTCCCGGTTCAGTCTAGAACCGGGACTAATGGGGGCATTAGTCCCGGTTCGTGCGCCCAGGGGCCACGTGGGCCATTTGTCCCGGTTCGTCTGGACCTTTTAGTCCCGGTTGGTGCCACAAACCGGGACTAAAGGGTGCGATGCCCATTAGTCCCGGTTCGTGGCACCAACTGGGACTAAAGGGTTAGACCTTTAGTCCCGGTTCGTGGCACCAACCGGTACTAATGGGGTTTGAGGCATTAGTACCGGTTCATGGCACGAACCGGTACTAAAGGTCCCATTTTCAAACTCCACCCCCCCCTCGTGGATCGCCTTTTCAGTTTTTAAAAAAATAAAAGAAAATGATGAAAATGTCAAAAAAATAAAAGAAAATAAGTTTCCCATGTGATATGTGGTCTAGTTGTTGGGAAAATTTACAAATATGAATTTCGACTTTATTTGCAAAATCTCTCTAGAATTTAGTAAAATGGGCATAACTTTTGCATACTGACTCGGATGAAAAAGTTTTTTATATGAAAAATCATCTACTCAAAAAGTTATGGGGCTTTTAAGATTTAGAGTGGAAAAAATCGAAAAAATTTCAAACTGTGGTCAAACAATGGTTAAACTAATTATTCTAGAATATTAGTGTTACTAAATAATTATTTCAGTTATTTTGAATTTTGGTCAAATCTGGTCAAACTGTGGTCAAACTATGGTCAAACAATGGTCAAACAATGGTCAAACTAATTATTCAAGAAATATTAGTGTTACTAAATAATTATTGTTTTTTAAAACAATTGTTTCAAACTCAAACAGTGAA